CATCCAATTTGCTACTATTTCATTTCATCGTTCATTCTGGACGGAAGAGCAACCCATATCCCTATAAAGAACATTTGTATCAAGCATAAAAAAATTGAAAATGATGTGAATAAATAGAGATTGAAAACAGTGTTGGTCCCAAACTAGAATACTCAGGGATATGGTGAATATCAAGTGAGGAATAGCAATATGTACTAATTTGAACATATTGCTATCTATCAGTCGAATAATGAGGGCGAGGAGTGATATGCTACCTTCCCGATGCCCCGATGCCATAATACCACTGATTATAGATTAAGGCAGCAATTCCCGAAGCAAGCGATGACATACAAGGAGTGCGTACAAATTCGATAAGCTGACATTAAGGATCATGTTATAACTTTAGTATTTATTCGTTTTAGATGGAAAATTACTAGCTTCGTTTTCAATAAATTAATCTATTTCCGAGGATCTAGTGAATCGTCTTCCGGGCCTAGGGATTGTAGTTGGTATAAAAATTTAACGTAGTTTTCTTTTTCGTTGAATGGAAAAATTATAGCATGGAATTTTAGCAATTATATTTGACCATGGATTGTATATTTATCGAAGCAAAAAATCAATATGACTCAAAACGCTTTTATATTAGTGTCATATTCGTGGTGATTGTTTTAAAAGTTCGTTGCATGAAAATTTCCGCAACGTGGTATGTTAATATTTGAAACCCATCATTTTGAATGATTCGTATGCGCCCTTGTGTACCGTTATACAGCTTCAGGAAACCACGCCACTAAATGGAATACCCTTATAAAATATTTTCTCATTGACATAACCGTTTTTCAGTGATTAATAAGCATCGAGTGCCATAAATCGCCTCAGTCTTGATATAAATGCTGCATGTATGAAGATCAAAACTACACAATACCAACCAAGGATTATAAATCACGAGGAAAGAGGAATCAGCGAGTTTCTCATTGATCAAGATCTTGAATAGAAAATCCAGGACCCACAGTTTCTTTTTTCGTAATAAAAATTTATAAATGTTGACCGTCGCGTTTCGGGCAGAGGAGCAGTAATTAATGATTGATTTCCCCCTATTTTAAGAAAGGTTCGCCTTTTAATGGACGTTTCCCTGACCCTTGACCCCCAAAAGATTCTTTTTATACTTGCCCACAGCATGTTCAAAACTATCATTTTTATACAAAACAATAAAAAAACGTGTCGCTTTTAGGCTATGATAGCTCATTTTAGTCTATTGCAGCGTTTGCGCTATCAATTTTGATTATTGTAACTAAACTAAATATCCCTGGATGACATACCGGTACTGGCAAGTAAGTTGTTTGATTTACGACTATTCTTTGAAAACCCAACTAAAAATAACGAATAAAACGCAAAACTACCAAAAGAAGGCAATGTTTACAACTACGCTTGAATAATGTCTGAGCGGCGGCATGAATTCTAAATGCTACGTCATTGTTAACTTATTGCGGATTAGTAATTGTTACGGAAATAAACAAGGAAATCGATGCTTGAGGGAAACTTCATACCATTGAGGTGTATGGACCTTTCCCCGAGCATCGACTTCCTTGTTTACCTCGTGACATTGGCCAATCAGCAAGATGCAAAAAGTGACGTAACAATGCTTCCTTTTCGCATCCGCTCAAATACTTTTCTCACTCAGACATATTTTCGAACGTGGTCGTAAACATTACCTCGTTTTCGCGTTTTCGAAATCTATTCGTTAGTTTTCAGTTGTGTTTCGGAAACTTAAATATAATTTAGATAATTCAATGATCACTCTGTCTTCCTAGGAATTTTAATTTAATTGCAGTGATAAAAAAAAATCAGTGTAGAAATAGCTATGATAGACTAGGCTAAAATTCTTCACCGTACTTTTAAAAAACAGATTGTTGTATGCGATGACTCATAATGATGTTTTATGTCACGTCTTTTGATAGCCCGGAATCTATATCGACGAGACACAATGAAAACGTATCGAACGCGCCACTCTCAGCCCCTTTGTCCACAAACAAGACACGTGCATAAATCACTTCTTTATATTCTTGGCAAAAAACAGCGGTTTTCTTAAATAAATAAAACAAAATTGATTAACATAAGTCAAAGCATATAACAACAACAAAAGGCAAATTTCTCACCAAACGTTTTCCGATCCGGGAGGCTAATACAATTACAATATATAACAAATAAATAAACAGTCCACAATACAGACAAATATCTGCGACTCTTTACACGACGAATACGTGATGCAAATGACCGAAAGGAAAACGCTAAACCAGACAATAGATAATAATACTAATTTACGCTACAAACAAAGGGTAATAATGGGTCTACAATGATTGGATGCAAGGCAGAGCGCGATGCACTGCATACAGTGGCAAAATATACGACAAACGTACGTTTACAACGTAACATACCCCCACCCGAATATATGACCCAGGGAATATATTCTAAAAAATTAAACGTTGTAAATGAAACAATAATTCGATCCACTATTTTTGGTCTTCTAGAAATCGACATAGTTTAATAATGGGTCGTCTGCCAACATTTGTGCCGGTTCTCACCAACACTGAGCGGACGAGTCCATGTTTATCTGGGAAGGTATTTATAACCCCTTCCAACAGTCCATCGACCGCGAGGAATCGATTCATCAACTAGCAGAACAATAGGTTATCACGTCCTTTCGTCCATTTTGACCTTTGTGTTATTGTTGGCAGGTACTCTTTTTATCCATCGACGCCAGAATTCATCAGCCAGATATTATACCTGGCGCCATCGCTGTCGAACGTAGCAATCACGCTTCGTGAATACACCTGGTGATACATTTGGTGACGAACCAACAAGTAGCAGATGGTTGGGCGTCAACGGTTCATCAGCTGAGTGGTCCATTATCACTGGAGTTATCGGTCTGGAATTCAGTATCGATTCCACTTCAACTAGTAGTGAGTAATCGATTGACCTGTCAACAATACAGATAGAATTCGTTTAGTTGATTTAATCATTCTTTCAAAAACGCCACCCACATGACTGGCGTATGGAGGATTGAAGTTAAAATTCTGCGTCGACGCAGATAGTTTGCAATACTTTGCTCGTTCCATTTGCTAATTGATTCTTTCAATTCGCGACAAGCACCTACAAAATTGCTTCCATTGTCGCAATATATGTGAACAGGACGACCTCTGCGTCCAGTAAAGCGTCTCAATGCGTCAATGAAGTCGTCTGGCTCTTTGGGTTTATCACAGGATGATGTGGCAATAACCATTTTGTTGGATAGATGTTCGGCGACCTAGGACTGTCAGCTATACGAGCGTATCCTTTATCAACATAATCATTCAATGTCTGAATATATTTTTGGTGCAATGTGTCATCTTTTAAAAGACGTCGCTTTAACTGACGAAGGCGATTCTCCGCCACTTTCTGATTACATGGTAACTCGCGATGATCGATTTTCCACAATAAAGGTAGTTCGTAATGTCCATCAACAAATTTGAGTTTGTCTTCCATGCAACTACGCGCTATTCTATCTTCGCGGGAAGTTTTAGTGTCACAAATACTGGGGACGTCAGCAAAGTCCGTACGCCAAAGTCGCTCAATCTGCGACGCCAAAGGATTTGTATCAACAAAATTAATAGAAGTGTTTTCATAGACGGTCAGAGACGGACCCATAAGAGACCAACCCAGAGGGGTTTCACCGCAATCGGCTGTTGACTCCGACCCTTTCTAAATTCCTCCCACACAAACACTTCGGGAACATCCGCTCCTATCAGCAAAGTCACTTCACCGTCGTGTATTCGAGGAAAGTCGATATCAGACAAATAGGATAGCTTACGCAAGGAACTGCGCGAGGGTAGCTTATTGGGCTTTATGGACAAGTTACTGACGCACAATACATTGGGCAATTCAATGCAATCGTCATGTCCGTCAATTTCTTTAACGAGTAGAGGGGACAACTTCTTTGCTTTAACACATTTGGGACGATAACCAACAGTTTGCAATGTAACATCTACAGGCACCCCGGTTAGATTTAATTTGTTCATCAATTTCACACTACACATGGTGGTTGTAGAAGCACAGTCCAAAAGAGCGTATGTATCAAAAGCCCTGTTGCCAGCAGTTACTGTCACCGGGACGATATTCATGTAAACACCGGTGTTCCCTTGTTGCTTTGCGGGCGCCAATTTATTAGCGTGAACGTCGTGAATCGCATGGTTCATCGAGGTACCGACTGAACAAGTCTGTTTACTAATACCATCTCGCCGTGTAGGTGTCTCGAATTCGCGATGCAACAAAACATGATGGAACGGATACTTACAATCGTGAATGGGGCAACTTTCATTCTGTGTGCACTGTCTAAACATATGCCCTCGTCTTAAGCATTTGAAGCACAACTGATTCCGTCTAGCCACGGTATATCGTTCGTACCATGAAAGGACTTTAAATTTCTTACAGTTGAATAATTCGTGAGAAAAATTACGTCTGATCTTGAAACATTAGCTTGCTCGGTGATAAATTTAGAGAGGTCGTTGTAACTAGCTTCACGATCCTCCGTTTCTAAAATTGTTGCCACTTTGAAATCCCAAGCGTTTTGCGTCTCTGGTGGCAATCGTTTAACAATGGCCAGCAAATTGTCAAAATTATTAAGATTGTCGTACTCACTGATTTCTCCAAGAACTAAGCCACATTTCCGCATCAGTCGCGCATACGCTTGCATACCTTTCGCGTCGTCAAAGTTCAACTTCGGACCACGCTTCAACCTGTCCACACAGGTGCGGGAAATGACATGATCTTTACCATATTCATTCTTCAGCTCTCTCATAGCTTCGCGATATCCGCGACTCGGTTCCATCATTGAGCAATGATCAATGGCATTTTTCGCTTCGCCCTGGCACAGCTGTAACAAATAACTCAGACGTACGTTATCATCATCTACAAGATCTGTAACATAGGCCTTAAAGTTGCGGATAAAGGAATAATATTCCATTGGCATAGCTTCGCGATATCCGCGACTCGGTTCCATCATTGAGCAATGATCAATGGCATTTTTCGCTTCGCCCTGGCACAGCTGTAACAAATAACTCAGACGTACGTTATCATCATCTACAAGATCTGTAACATAGGCCTTAAAGTTGCGGATAAAGGAATAATATTCCATTGGATCACCTGAAAATGTTGCAATTTCTGGTTTGGGTAGATCGACAGTTCTGCGATGTAAAGCATGGTTCAAACGTGGAGGCACAGGATTAGCTGAGCTACTATCAGCTGTGTGTGTAGGCAAAGTCGGCAAACGCCGTGGAGTATTTTCACGACCGTTATCAATGAGCTGTGATTTAGGTGGGAAATCACGGGATTTCACGCTATTGTCGTGCCTAATTCTATCTACTGTTACCCACCGAAAAAATTCGTCATCGCTCATTTCCCAAACCTTTGATTCTGTTTCAGCAGCCTGTAAAGCGTGTCTTGTCCGAAGCTTACGCAAGTCGTTTTCTAAAGCTGAGAGTTCTTCTTGACGGGCCTTTAGGCGTGCCAGCTCCAACTTCACTCTTGCATTCCGGACGGAGAAAGTCGATGACGCTGAAGAACTCACGTCGCTAACGTCACTGGAACTCCTGCAAACATCTAGATGAGTTTTAAATTCATTAAAACTGCCAGGAGCATTGCTAATCATTGCCTGATGTTGGTCATCCGGCCTACCGCCGGTTGCCATTATTGAGAACCCGAATTAATGTTTGAAACCCTTTGGTTGAAAACTTGAGAATTTTGGTATTAACGTTAAGTTAATATCATTGAAAACTTCACAAATTATGTTTGGAGACTTGAAATCGTTTGAATTTTGAAGCACGTTTGAAAACTTTTATGTCACGTCTTTTGATAGCCCGGAATCTATATCGACGAGACACAATGAAAACGTATCGAACGCGCCACTCTCAGCCCCTTTGTGCACAAACAAGACACGTGCATAAATCACTTCTTTATATTCTTGGCCAAAAACAGCGGTTTTCTTAAATAAATAAAACAAAATTGATTAACATAAGTCAAAGCATATAACAACAACAAAAGGCAAATTTCTCACCAAACGTTTTCCGATCCGGGAGGCTAATACAATTACAATATATAACAAATAAATAAACAGTCCACAATACAGACAAATATCTGCGACTCTTTACACGACGAATACGTGATGCAAATGACCGAAAGGAAAACGCTAAACCAGACAATAGATAATAATACTAATTTACGCTACAAACAAAGGGTAATAATGGGTCTACAATGATTGGATGCAAGGCAGAGCGCGATGCACTGCATACAGTGGCAAAATATACGACAAACGTACGTTTACAACGTAACAGTTTGCAACACATATCCCATTTCACAGGCGCGAACTCGTAAAAGCACTCTTAAAATAGCCCCGAACATTTTGCAATGGTAAACTATAGGAAGAATTTTTCGGAGGTCAAAGGTCGGGGAAAGGACCATATAACCCACAGAGATATATAAATATAGAGTGTGCTTCTCTCTCGTTTTCGCGGGTTCATATGAAGCCTCTCTCGTTTTGACGATATGCTTCCAACTTTTTCCGATGCGCGCAATGCATTTCTTATGGGATTTGACAGGAATTAATTATTTGCGTCGATTTTTTTTGCATATTCGCAAGTTCTTGATTCGTTTCTCATTATATATCAAACGCTAATCCTACCCCAGCCCACCATACGGTCTAATTTTGGCAGGTATATGAATATGCGTAAGTCTCGGTTAATAATATGGCCAACATATCAGTCGAAAGCGAACAAAAACGACCACAGAACATTAGCCAAGATGGCTTATTGGAATCGATTCCCTATTTGCCTATATTTGGCCGTATTTTATCGCCGTGAGTACTTTGCGTAGCCTGGCGCTGTAGTGGCCTACCCGCAGCGCCGGATTAACCATTAAATAGACTGACATTTCAAGATAGTAATTGGCCTTTCGGTTTGGACGATTAAACGAAACGACAGCAGATGGGACAACACAGCAGTTAGCCCCCACGCTGTACTGACTATGCCATTATTCACCGGATATTGCTACAGTTAATTCGTAGGACAGAATATTTAATTCCGCGATTCTACGAAATGAGCATGGTTTGGTTTAACAGATTTTGTCATAAACAATTATGAGCGCGCATTGGTGCCCAAACTGACAAAAATAAGATCAATTTAATGCATTCCTGTACCTCGACTATTGGGCGGGAACGAAAAAAAGCTTAATTTTTATTTCTAAAACATGGCCCTAGCCTTATTCACTGGATCGACTCAGCAGCCAGAATAAAACGGTAGTTGTGCGAATCATGTTATGATGAAATTTTGAGGTTGTAATTTTTAGAAAATTTCATTTGACACACAAACCAAAACTTATACTCAATATATTGAAAGTAATATTTGTATGTAGATTTTCCGAAAAAATACAATATATCATTTATCTATACTATAGACATCTAAATTGAAAAGCTTTCAAATGATTTGGTTACATACTTGCTCTTCAGACTTGATAGGCCTCCATCTCACTCAGTGATGAAAAGCTGGTACTTGACGAATTTCTTTTGCTACAATGATAAATTGTCCTGTCAACTTTCAAGCAGTGTTTTTAAAAAGCTGAATCAATATATATGTCATGATTTTGTGCAAAGCCAATTCTAAATTTGAGTTAAAACTAAATTTCGTTGAGCCAACTATGTCATTAGGTAGTTAATTCAGACAAATGTTATTTGACAGAGACACTGCAAAGCAAAAAATAGACGTTAGTTCAATAAAATACGTAACGGGTAAATTTCGACATTAGATTTCATAAAAGCCAAACTTTTCTCCGATTTTTTTTTAAATACACAAAACTAAGAAAAATTTAGACGAATAAAATTTATTCAGCGATTGCCATTAAATTTCAAATATTATAGATTACAATAGAAATTGCTTTTCATCGACCTTACAGTTACAGGTATATGTAATCATTCAATTTCATAAATACAGCTCCATATTTTATAACATACCCAGGTGTAGTTTTCAAACCTGCACAGTTGCAAATATTAGAATAAAAGTAAAACACCCAATGAACTTTTATAACTGTTTCATGGAGTATATGACTAATTACCTCTGATCAGTAACTTGTAAAATTATCACATTGTTCACGGTGGGGAATCGCAACTGGGGATCGCTATTCAGCAGAGAAGCGAGCAACGAATTTTAGGGGGCGCAATGGGTACAACACATTTGATACAAGGTACTATATTAATAGTACTATTTCGGACTTCTGCTTTAAAACACAGTTATTAAAACATGTACAGAATCTAAATCTTAAATTTCGATAGAATGCACAGGATCAAATATACAGCGTAACAATGTTGGCTTGCATCGAACTATTTAGCCTTTTAAACGTGAACGTGGGTCTTACTTTTTTGGAATTTTGATTGTGAAAATATAAATCTTACAATTTCGAGGGAAAACACAAGATCAAATAAGTGGCAATGCCGACTTTGATCGCAAGACCCGAGACGCGGTGCGCTTGCATCTAATTGTTTAGCATTCTAAACGAAAACAGTGGTGTACAGGAATAAAATAGGCGTCGGAAGTCAATAAAATGTTTAAATGATATTTACTTGTAAAATTCCTCGTTCGTTATTTTGTGTCTTTGAATCTCCAACCTTTAATAGTTTTGCATCTGAAAAAAAGTTAAAATATTGATAAATAAACTGTCGCAGAACTGTAGCTAGCATATTCAATGAACAGCGGGACTGAATCTATCGGATCTTCTGCCAACGCTCCCGCCACGTTTTAAAATGACATATTATTAATTATCCATTTGGGGTTAGGAATGATTTAAAAATTGAATTCCCAGCGCAATCTGCATTGCTAACTTAAACTGGATAATTATTAATTCTCTTATTTTGAACGTTGATAGGGTCTTTGTACAAAGATCCAATCTATACAAGGCGATCCGGTAGTATTCGTACCAAGATGGTGCACAACCTGAACCCTAACCAGGTACACATACTGTGTTCAGGTTGTGCGCCATCTTGGTACGAATACTCTGGGAGCACCCTATACACAATAAAATATGAAAGGGAAAAGGCTACGGCGAATCTCTAATAAACCATTGATTTTGCGCTACATTTGCGAAAGTTTTGAAAGTTATGCATTACATTCATGTAAATCTTGTCCTGTTGAATGCAGCTTACGTAGTGACGTAGATCAGTATATTACGTTTAAGTTTCTTAATATGATAAGTCTATGTATTGTCATATAGCTTTTAAGTATCAACCAGTTTTGAGGAAACGATGGAACCCGTTCGATACAAAAGAGAATCACCCACAATCTAGACTTCTGTATTTGGTTTATAATTCCAATTCGTAATAGGGCCCGAAAACCTCTAATTTACCACTTATACAATAGAAAAATGAAAGCAATGGAATATCAATGAAAACAATAGATTTAAAGAACATTTAGCTCACCTGAATATTGTTTCAAACTCGCTGTCATAACCCAACAGTCAGCTTGTCCATACATTCTACACAAAATCAAACCTTATCCTACGACGAACATTTGTGACTGCGATGTCGCTTGTGGCTTCCCGCGCACAAATATTTGACGAAAAAAGCTAACTGATTGTTGTAATCAAATATTTTTAACTGATTACTTTAATTACTCCAGGTTGCCGTTACGGTCCGATCACCCTTCTAACGCGTGATCTCAAAGTTGCAGAATGAAGATGACGGTTGGGATTTGCTTCATACATTTTCTGATCGCATAATACCTAGTTCATAGTATTTTCGGGGGTGTTTATCTCGGTGACCGTACATTTGAACCCACGTATATTTGAACCCACGTACATTTGAACCATGTACAAATATCCGTAAAACAAATAAATTTCCATAAGTGCAATAGTACGCAGGTGCAATTGTCGTGGGTTTAGACGTACGTGGTTCAAATGTACGTGGGTTCAAATGTACACGGGTTCAAATGTAATGGAACCGTTTATCTCAGATCTCACATTTTTACATCAGTGACGGGAGCTTAGTACAAAGAATCCAGCATTTCCATTATATTTGTCTGTTTGTTTTTTCGAGTAAACGCGGCACGTGGATGTCATCAAAAATGTAACCTTCCCTCCACTCCATGAAAGAATAACGGCGTGTTTAGCGTTATATTCAATGCATTCTTCTAAATTAACGTACAAATCTAGCTCATTGACTTTCGCAGTCAAGAATGTTTTCATACAATAACGTGACGGCGATGTCCTTAAAAGTGGAGTCACAATGGGACGTTGTTTCGATGCCTACTGCAGGGCTACTCAACTATTTTTATCGAAGGTCCGCAAATAAAACTTCAAAATTATTTGGGTCCGGTCTTTTCCAGAAATGATATTTCGGCCCTCCTTAAACGGGCACTTCCTCGACCGACTAATGGTTAGTAGCAAAATTGAAATTGTTTATTATGGTGTTATAGTCTTTTCGTATATATTCAAAACTATGAAGTCATTTGTATAATAGGAAATTCAAAAACTGGGGCTAATGATCCAAAATAAATAATTTAGGTGCGGTCCGGCCTACAGTAAAGGTAATTTCTCCGCCCAAACCAAACGGCAGAGACATAACATCAGCAACAGCATTAACCACGGTTCTACGTGAAGTAAATACGATAATTGACTGCTCAAGACAAGTGCATACCGACGACAACGAACTGATTCACATATTTGGTGTTATGAAGCTCGTGAAGAGGTAGACTGCTATTACGGAGCCCCACAATAAGAACTAACAAAAAACAAATTGTTACTTACACGATTAATATTAATGAGTGATTGAAAATACGCTATTCAATAATCGGATGTATTTGCTTCTTCTTAAATTTTATTAATGTCTTTTGAGTAAACGAAATAGTTCGCGGAGACTCTATAGTTCTGTATGAAGCACTTTGAGTCTGTCTCTAACATAGACCTCTTGGTAAAAAGCGATCATGATACAGGTATGTACGGCCATAAGAACAATCCTGAGATTTCGTCATCCAGCGTAAGGGTATAGACGTATATTAATGTGTTTAGTATCTATGTCAGCCAGTGCACTGCAGTTGACTACGTTCGCGTTGAGTGGCGCATCGTACTAAGCTTAGGACTACGCTTGATTTCTAACCTAAGATTACCCCGCTTAGATTCGCAGTTCAAATCCAGTAGGATAATTTAGTACCAGAGGATTGCTGGCGGCTTACTCCCACTATCCCTACCCTAAGCTAGCGCTTCCCAAACTTTTTAGCCCCGGAATATTAATAGTTTTTATGATGTAATTTCAGTTTTTGCTCTACTTTCGCTTGAGGCACATAATATGCAGCACCTACGCCAAATGGATTTTTCGAACCGTCAGTAAATACTTGTACATAGTCTCGATAGTTTTTCGTGTATATGGTCAAGAAATGACGTTTGAAGTATTGTTGGTGAACATGTTGTACCATAAATCGTTAACGTTGTATCAATTTGCGGTGGCTTTATTACCCAGGGAGGAATCTTGAAATTGACATCTTTTGCAACAAAGAAGTTGGTAAAAAAGCTGTTGGTTGTTTTCATAATAAACGTTGCAAATGACGGTTTGTAAGAAAATATTCTTCCCACGACTGTTTGAATAATTGTGCTGTAATTTCGCTGTCACGAGGAATCATTCTGCATTTGTAATGTAGACATTTTCTATAATGTATAATATGTAAAGGCATTTCGTTACACTGGGATTGTAACGCTATAATAGGAGTACTTTTTAATGCAACCAAACATTGTGATTGGATTACAGCCAGTTTCCGCAATATAGTCGTTGTTCTTATTGTTCCTGTTCTTGTTCTTTGACACGTTTTTAAAAAGTCGCGTTTCTCTTTGATTACTGGACCAATTGCTTTGAAATTTTCAGTAGTTAAAGATGGAATTTTTTTCTAGAAGGCTATTACTTTTATTAGTTTCAAATATTTCTGTGAGCTTTATGAGATTCGTTTTTATTTTGAGCTATGACGTCATCAGAATTTGCCACCATGTGGCGATTCCGCAAACATTTCAACGATATATTGGTCAGCAAAGTCGGGAGTTTCTTGATAAGGTAGACCAGGGTGGTCCAAACTCTGTCATGCTGATACATTCCGTGCGGCTCACAGAACAATTTTAGCGTATATTTGTATGTAATGGAGTAACGTCTTTTTTTAGATATTCCAACTGGGGTTGGGATCCCGAAATTCAAACCGCTTTGTGCCAAAACACTCCTCTGTTTACAAGCATCGGCCATGTGACAGTAGTGACGAAACGCAGAGCCGACTTAACACCGCGTAATCCAGTTTTTTAGCTAGGTCCAGAAAACAAACTTAGACTGACTTGGTTGGTATTTGACGATGTCACTAAGCTTGCTCACGCTGCAAGTTTCTAAATTACTCAATATAACAATTCGTAATAAAATGAGTGTCGCAAGAAAGGTGACATGAGAGAACACGGCGGAAATGTATTTCCTTGCCCATCACGCAGTGTTTGATTTCAAGTAATATCTGTCACGAAAGAATATAATTTGAAGCGACATTAAACGCGAGATGCGCAAAATACAACGGTAATTCTCGGAAATTAACTTTAAAATATCTGAAGGCTTTATATATCTTCTTTAAACGAACGCCAACCATGCAACCTAATAATAGTCTGATTAGAAGATCTCGTTGTTTAATAAATTTAAAGTAAGTAAACTCGCGATATTTTGATCACTTTTGGGTTTTCTCCGACTTGCGGCCCGCGAGACCTCGTCAAAAGTTTTTGCGGTCCTTCAACCTAGCAACCTTGAACCACTCTGAGGTAGACTACTAGGTACCGGTAAAATTTCAAACTACAGTTGTGACTTGTATCCTTTGGCATTTCGATTCACGTTGAGACTGGAGGCATGAATCTTTATTGTCACACTCCCTCAGGATTAGAGCTCAACCGATATATCGGCCCGATATTGCGTGTTTGCATATATATAATATCGGCAGTAAACGGCCAATATATATATCGGCTATATATAATAGTTAAAAAACCTGAAAAGGTTCGTAAAGTTCGTTTTATTTACTGTTGGTTGTGATTATTTTTAATGGATAATACACTTATGTGGTTTATTGTTTTTATAATTAAATTACACATGAGGGGGCACCAAAGTCTTCAGTGCTTAGGGCACCAAAGAGGCTTAATCCGCCCCTGCCTACCCGAGATATACCTAAAACATACCGGTAGTCCAAAGGGCGCTCCAGAAGTGTGTGTACCAATATTGAGGTAAATAATATTGTTCGCCTACTTTACATCAAGTTGTGTAAAAGGACTGAAGGGTATATTCACTTGGGTAACACACACAGTACCCGAACTCGTAATAGAACCAAAATAAGAAAAGTCAGAACAAAGTTATGGCCTAACGCCAACCTGGTACACAGACTACGGCAGTATCAACTAAATTTCTCTTCGTCCTATACTGAAGACTCAGGTGAAATTTTCCCCGTGGAGGTTATTGCATTTTGGGATACCAGGCAAAAACAATTGTTTCCACTTATATCTATTGTGCAATCGCCTGAACAACCAATTTTTTTCAAAAACGAGATCCACATCAGGCTCCAAAAATACTCGAATACAATTGTATCTGGTATGTTAGTCGTTGCTGAATACCCACAAAGTGTCGCATATACATCCATATGCGGCGCACTGGGTAGTAAAATAGACGAAAACTGGCCAAAACCATATGCAACACGAAGAAACTTTGGAAGCATTAATGCCAAGATGGCGGCGATCAAATGATCCCGCGGCGAGACGCAACGAGAGAGCAAAACGAGAGAGAAGATCGTTCCATATATTTTCAGTTCAGTGATATACCTCAATGATTTTTCCCGATTTTGCAGACGTTTTGGCTTCAACGAAAACTTGATATTGATTGACATGTTGCGCATGATTGTCCCATATCCGAATCCATGAGTCACTCATCCACTTTTGTTTGAGTCGGCTTTTCGGTATTTTCCGACGCATAACGGTGGCTTATAGACGGGACAACATTTGTTAAAGTCTGGAGATGGCAAATTTCTTTTCCATCGTGATTGCATTTATGACAATATTCTTTTTTGAAAAAGCTATAACTGACGAGATACTGGGTTGTGGTGGTTTCGTCAAATCCAAAGTGCAAATAGATTTCTCTAAAGTCGAGGTTAGTGGATTCAGTGATTTGAATAAATCTTTTGGTTTTTGAGTTTATATTCACATATAGCTGTATAGAATTAGCTTCATTGACAATATGGGTAAACTGGCGCATGTATATTTACATGTATTAAACCTTTATAAAGGTTTTGCCAGTTTCTCCGATTTTCCCATCTTCTGTGTGTTTTTTCTGTCATTGTTTGTGTTTTGTGTATGATTTTTTTTTTGCGGGAAAATCAAAATATTCTTATGATTTGCGCCTTACATCAGTACATTCGATTTTTTCATTCTTCGTGCTGCACTTTCCTACCTGTCGGTTTGTACCGGTATACAGGTATATACATTATAATTAAACATTTTTCAGTTTTGTTTTAGTAGACTGCCGGCATGCTGCTATAGTCTACTAAGATATCCTGAAAATAAATTCATATACCTTTTTATTAATTAAGCAAATGTCTCTGAAATCAATTCTTTGACTCTTTTGTTGTAAATGATGTGATTATTGACCTAAAATATCCAGATATTTGAAATCAATAACAAAAATTTTCAATATTTTATCCTTTAGATAAGGCTTCTGACACGAGAAGGAATACAGAAATATCAGACTGAATGTGCTCCGAATAATGGTTATTACATGGTGCCCTTTGTAGAAAAGGTTTGTGGAATTTAGTTTTTGTTACAATAATTTCCACTGCACAAGCTCATTACTAATGCTGTAAAACTTTACCAATATCAGACTGAACGCTTTTTCCTCACTTTGTTTTTCACTCTGTTTACATATAAAATGTAGAGTTAAATGCAAAACCCTGGGAAAATATTAAAGGGAATTTTTTATTCTGGAAATCAAGATGCTAAAAAGTGATTATTATCTATTCGTTTCAACAATGTTAATTTAAATAAATTAGTTTTTAAATATTACAAGGATGTGTATAAAACTGTTATCATTCATTTTTAAAATTTTATTTTTTAGGGGGACTTCGTCTTGAAGGTTCATCCTCCAAATGGATGGAGTTTTGGTATGCATTCATTTTCATATTTTATGTTTTGTTCTATTCCATAATATCAAATGTGAAGGACAAAGTTCAATATTTTTCTGTGACCAATGTTCTGTTTTGTAGTCTATCACATAATATATGGAATTCATTCTGTTTCTGTTACAAAGAGGTTTTACTGTATTTTGATTTCATTACAAAAATTTAGGCACTGTACACAAATTCGGATTGCATAGCATTTCCAACTGAGCATGCGCAACTGAAACAATACATATTATTTCGCAACTGAAATTGTATTTTTGTTCCCTCAACGATAACATATTGAATATATTTTATGTGATGAAAGTTTTTTGATAGCAGTGTTGCAAATGTTAACTACATGTGTTTATTTTGTGGAAAAATCTTCCTAAGACATTTTTTCTGTGTTGTTTTTATTCAACAAGGACATTTTTTATGCCCTTTTCAATTTTTATAATTGTATTATATATTTATTTATCATTTTTTTTTCAAATAGATCCAATGTCTATTGATTTACATGTTGATGGGGTAAATGATCCATGTTCACAAGGAAAAGACATAAATTTTGAATTTTTAGGATTCACTGTGACTGGTCAGGTATATACAATTAGTGTTCAAATTTAATTATTGAAATAATAAACAAAATCTTCCCTTAAATTAATTCTTGTGATTGGTGACTTTCTGATTAGGTAACTAGTCCGGGAGTGTCAAATAATGGCCCTCAGGATGTCAATCTAACCTTGCTGACCCAAAAAGAAAATAAGGTCATTGCTACAACAACATCATCCACAGGAGGAGCATTTCAGTTTTCATCAGTATTTCCAGGAATTTATAAAATCCAAGCTTCTCATCAAAGTTTCACATTTAAACAGGTTAGGAAATTGCCTTGTTATTATTATTTAGTTTAGTTTGTTTCTGAATATAAAGGCGCTCCAGAAATATGTGTACCAATATGGAGGTGTTTGCCTATTTTACATGAAGTTGTGTAAAGGGCCTGAAACCTATGGGAAGGGGGTATATTCACTTGGCTAACACAGACAGTCCCGAACTCGTAATAGAACCAAAATAAGGATAATTGAATAAAATTATGGCCCAACCATAACCTGGTACACATACTACAGAAGTACCAAAAAAAGTTAATGTAGAACTAAAATATTAAAAAAGTTAGAAGTATGATGTCAAGTAATATTTCTTCAGAATGAAATTCAAGTCACTGTAGCACAAGCAAATGTCCAGTGTGCCTCATCCATTGTGGTATCTGGTTATGATGTTCATGGAAAAGTATCTGCAGCTCAACTTCCTGTGAAAGATGTTCACATGTTGTTATTCTCAAACAAGCAGCTTTCAGAAAAGGTTTGTTATGTGGAGGATTACGTCCCAGGGCAAAAACTGAAACTTTGTCCCATCATTTGGCAAAGCTATCTAATCTAAGATTTTTTCGGGGTTCAATTTTTTTTAATATTTCGTCACAATCTTTATCATCCCTGCACAAATATTGTCATTTTGAATATTGCGATGTTCAGCATCTGTGTCCCTTTTTCTAGTGATGCTGGTATCAGTGGTATGCAATCTTCTTGATCAGTAATTTAACAAAAGTGCGTGTGCACATGCAATGTCTGCATATGTTTTTCATATGAATGGAAATTAGTCATCCATTGCTAATTCCTTATCTTTTTTAGAATATTTTTTCTCGTCTATTAACTTTTTATCGAAGTTAGCATTTTCAAACGATTACTGAATTTGCCCTCTTGCTGTTGACCTGTTGTACCTGCTTCTAAAAGGAATAATAAATTAAATTTTAGACTTTCTCCCTAATTTAATTGATTTTGATGAGTTTTAGAATTGATTCATTTTTTGCTCCAGGTGAAGGGTTGTAGTTCGTCACCTCCAGTTGGATCAGATAATATCATAAAAACCCGGAAATTAGTTTTTCTATGCAGTGCTACTTCTGATAACAAGGATCATTTGTATTTCCTAATCTTCCACCACAAGATTATGTCGTAGTTCCATTCCACAAGGCAGAGCATATTGAGTAAGTGAGGATTATTATAAACAATTATCTTGTACTCAAAAAGCTGTGTTATTTATATATTTGTTTTCCTGGACTTGACGGAAATAACTTCAGTTAAAATATGTTGGTCATCATGATATTTTCATTTTTAAAATTCTCCATCTTGCAACTAAATTTGATGGAAATTAGATTTCGATATAAAAAATATTCAAAATTAATTTTCTTAAAAATGACGTTTCTGATCAATTTTACAACTATTTTAGATTTGACGTCGAACCTGAAGAGATGAAATTTACAGTCTCTATTGGAAGTGTGTTTCTTGATAAAAAATTTCAGGTCACTGGTTTTTCTGTCACTGGTCTAGTTCGTGATACAGTTGGTGGAAATCCTGTTGCCAGTAAGTAGATGTTTTGTGAGATACATTTTATCAAAATGAATCTGTTTTTTTTTCGTAAAAAATTGCTAAACTGCAATATAGATATCTTGAGTTCTCTGCTTTATATTTGTGTGCATCCCATAGTTCAAAATTAAGTCTGTTTAATTAAATTATTTTGCCTATGTCCAATTGAATTTCTTTGACTGACGATTGTCAAATTGTCACAGACAATGTATCAACAGTACTAGTAGATTATGTAAATGACTTTTTGTGTTTTATTTATGATATGTTAAGAATATAAAACCACCAATTTTTGTCATCTCTGATATTCTAGTGACCAAATTATAAAATACTACTAAAATGCTTTTTATGTTTTTTGGTGACTTTTTTTTTCAGATGCTCAAGTGTTAGTGAATGGCAAGCAACAAGCAGTTACAAATGAGAAAGGATTGTATAGGTTACAACATATGAATAGTGGAATTTATAAAATTACTTTGGAAAAAGAAGACATATTCTTTCCAGAGTCATCAGTGAGTGCAAAAAAACTTATAGTTTATCATTTTTGTATTCAAGTCTGATGGAGAGACAGTCCCCGAACTCTTAATAAAACTAAAATAAGGAAAATCTGAATAAAATTATGGCCTAACCCTAACCTGGTACACACACTACGGGAGTATCCAAACTTCTACATGGATGATGAAAAGAACAAAATTTTACTTGTTTAGGTTCGAGTGGGATCTGATACGCCACGTCTTCCGGATATTGTAGCGAATAAGTTCTCACTTTGTGGAAATGTGGAAATAAACGTAAAACCGACAAAACCATTTAAAATTGAGCAGTTATCTGTCAGTATATCAAACAAGAATGGGGAAAACAAAATAGTGGAAAAGTTGAATAAAGATGCTTCATTTTGTTTTAGAGTCTCTCCTGGTAAGATATCTGGCAAGATTTATTTTAATCATAAACTGAATTGTTGATCTAACTGGTTTAGTCTGGTTTGAATTGGAAATCTGAGATATGTAAAAAAAATTTGCAGCTTTGATATGTCTACCTTTTTGATAAAAAAATTGGCCTCAGACCTGTAGCTGTAATATTGAGTGATATTGAAATAATAGCAATTAATGAACATTACTAATCAAAAATGGTTATTTTTTCATCCTCAACACTCTTAAATATGATTTTCAAAAGTAATAACTGAAATTAGTTTGGAGGGAAAAAGAATTAAATTTTGGTTTGATATAAATATTTTTAACATAAGACCTAATGATATGTTGTTATTTCAATAATTTATATTCCCATGTTATTACTTCAGGTGAATACAACGTTGTCCCTGTTGTACCGCAAGGAATTGCAACCTGGGGAATTGTTCTTTCACCCGATGTGCACAAGGTAATAATATCATACGAGTCGTGACTTCGACAAATGTATTCATTATGTTCTAGCAAAAATTTTACTTTTTTAGTCTTTGTATAAATTTAATATCAGTCTGGTTCTGAAATTTCTAAGTAAGACTGTAACAGAATTAAACACGTATCAGGTCTGGCTTGAGGCCGGAAAATGTGGGTTTTCAAGAATCTTGACTCTTGAGGGTATAAAAAGCATTTCAAGCTTTGTAAAATTGCTTGTGTGATACAGAAAAGCTTTTTTTTACCCTATTTTTGTGTCCGGACATCCCCACTTGGTTGCAAAGCCATACAGTACAAATTAAATAAATCACAAGGCTCTATTGAACTGGAAGAGTCTCTTATTTTCAGAGTTGAAAATGCATTGAATTGTTTTTTATTGGGAATCTTGTTTTTAATTAAATTACTTGTAAGTTTTGGGTTAGAAATTTGGGTACTTCCGTAGTGCCAGGTTAGGGTTAGACCATAATTTTATTCTGATTTTCTTTATTTTAATTCTATTACGTGTTCGGGGACTGTCTGTGTTAGTCAAGTGAATATACCCTCTGCCCATACGTTTCAGTCCCTTTGCGCAACTTGATGTAAAGTGGGCAAACAAAATTAGTTACCTCCATATTGGTACATACACTTCAGGAGCACCGAAAATTGTAAGAAAGGAGTAGATTGAAATGTGTAAATAGTGTAATTCATAATTTTACAAATTCATTACATTATACAATTTATTTCTCCAGGTCACTGTTAAAAACAAACCAATCAAAAACATCAAATTCAATCAACTAGTTGCTAATCTCAAAGTCTTGATTCATTGCATTGGAAGTTGCCATGGTGTCAGTGTTGAAATGGTCATGGATGGAGATACACAAAAATCATCTCAGAGAGTATCAAGCAAGACAAAAGAAAATACTGCTAACCTTGTTTTCAAGTATGTACATTATCCGAACTCATCATTCGCTGAATTTCTATTAAATCTAATTTGAAAATTGTTATGATTTATAAGTCTTAGTCAAGTTTATTTTTTACATCCAGTAAATAATAACATACAAAATTGAGAAAAAAATACAATTCAACGCATATTTTTACCGGGGAAGGGAAGTCGCGGGGAACTAAAACTGATTATCGAGCAGTGGCACCCAAGGTTCGATATCTAATAAAGGTAGTAACGTCGAAAACCAAGTTTTTAGAACACTGTTGTTGTGTTGAGTATGGCTTTGGCAGCTGAACCACTAAGAGCATCCACTGGACATAGAGGTTATACGAGATGACCCCAGATAGCTTGTGGGGTATTCCTCGAATGACCAGGTAAACAATGCTGAACTGTGCAAATTAGTGGGGATAGCCTAGTTGCTAACACTGTTATTCAATTAGATCCAGACGAAAATGTATTTTTTATATTTTAGGGATGTCTTACCCAATCAGTATTCATTGAAAGCTATCCATGAGGATTGGTGTTGGGAAACGAATCAAACAACAATATTTGTATCTGGTGATAAGAAAGAAGAAAATGTCGCCGAATTCAAACAATTTGGTTTCAGATTGACTTGTTCAATATCCCACGATCTTGACATGGTGAGATTTAGAGTGGTGGTTCTCAAACTTTTTAGAGCAGTGTCCCCTTTTTAGAAATTTTCAAGTCTCGCGCCCGACTCAAAAATTGCTAGCTAACAATAAGCTACAAATAACGGATAGTTAGACAACAGTATGTTTTATTCAAAAGCACGTAGAAAACATGTGGATGGAACCCCTCAAAAAAATGTCTACACCCCCTTGTGGGGGGCGCCTTCCGCTTGAGAATCAGTGATTTAAAGACTGTCATATTCAAATATTTTCTTTGATATTCTGAAATGCTCTTATGCAAAGATATATAATTGGGCGAAAAGTCTTGTGCAATGATCTTATCAGCCCTGTTATCTTGTTTTCTTATCTTTTTTCAACATTTTTGTGCGTACAATTTATTTTTTAATTGATTTTGTCGTAAGACTGTGTGCTATAAGTTCACACGTAGGGTTAAATATATGCAAGAGGATTGACTCCTCACCACCCTAGTATGGTTCACGTAACTGCCGGTCTGTTACAGCTTCCTCCACCATCCAATTCCATGCATCTGGAAACAAATAACTAACTAAACCAATAGCCCACACTGACTGGTAACCGGACGAGAGGCCGTGGTTCGTTACAATGATTAAGCCGTCTTATCAGCTTTCTTCTCTCCCTGGATAAATATGTCAATCCTATCATTGGTATTTTGCATTGTTAATTGTAACTATTTGATCATTTTTCATATGGTACTTTAGGCTATTCATCATGATGGAATTCTAGTTGACACATTTGCACTCAAGAAAGGCAGAAATCAATTATGTCTTGCCAAACCTGGAAAATATAAGTTGGAAGCAAGATCGTGTCATAAGTTTGAGCAACAAAGTGTTATCTACGAAACTGGCCATCCACAGCCTGTTGTCATGCAGGCAGTCAATCATGAAATGAAGTTGCGAGTGGAATCGACGCATGCAGACAAACTTTTAAAACTCGTAATAAAATCAAATGCAGAGTCGCAAGGTATGTTGACTTCATGGTGTCTGGTTTTTTTTTCAGTAAATTCAGCTGAAAATTAGTAATCTAAGCTTCTTTTTTCAGATACTATTTTGAAGCCTTCTGTGATGAAAGAGAAGAATTCCGAGGTTTGATTTTTACAATTGCAAGTGGTGATAGTCATGACAAGATTTATGTAAAGTTGATAACATTATACATACCTGTGAACTGAATGTTAATGGCCTGAATAAGGGATGTCCGTATCCGAATACTAAACTATTCTAGAATAGCACCGAAAAAACATTTTGTATATTGTTCAAATTAAATTAACAGAACCAAAACAATACTGCAGCAGTTTGGAATAACTTTATTCCTAACATAGGTAGTGTAAGAAACATGTGACATATGACAGTGTCTGTCACACTGAACTGATGCGAATTGCAGAAATAATATGAAACATTCTCCAAAAAAGTTTTTTTTCTGAATTAAATAAAACAAACTGTTGCTAGTACAAGCATGTAATAACAAAAATGTTGGATCCAATCAAGATACTTTCAAAATTATTAAAACAAGTCATGAAACGGAAACTTTTTTGAAATTGTACATTTCAAGCAGTGTTTTTTTTTTATAACAAATAATGTTTGCTGTGTAGAAAATTTAACGTTTCTACGTGCTTTCCAGTTCAAAAAAATAGGGAATTAAGATGACACATGTTTCAACTGGCAAGCATTGCGTTACATTTAAATTACTTGAATAAGCTGATACTTTTTGAACAAAATGAAACTCACAAATTGCCCTGCGAATAAGCAAGATTTGCGTTGGAATATACAGCTATATGTTTATTTTGTTGACATTCCACGACAGCAAAATAATCTCTACAATAACTATAGTTTCCATTTTTGTCTTTTTTTAACATCAGATTACTATTAAAATTTATCACTTTATTAAGTTATAGTAATGTTCATATTTTTCAGTCTTACATTTACTCATCACAATATCTAGCAAAGGATAATGAGCAACTAGTTATCACTCCAACTTCTGAAACATTGCTCTTTGACCCCAAATCAGTGAATGTCGTTGTTAAAGCAGGTTTGTCAAGAAAGTTACTTTTGTCTAGAAATCTTTGCAAAAATTAAAAAAAGCGTTTTTGTACTTGGGACTAAATGTCAATTTATAGTGGACTTGAGGGAATTTAGGCAAATTCTTGTTCGAGTGTGACGTAAAAAGTTACATTTCATGAAGAATATTTACAGTGTTAAAAAAGCAAAGATGAAAACAAAAAGCCTACTGCCAAAACTGATGTTAATCACAATCTCACAGTGCTATTTGCAGGACCTATCTGAATTGCTGCCCTCGAAAGTTATTTTTTTTTTTTTAAATCTTATGAAACTTTATTCTTAGAGGATTGCGACAAGGATATGGCGGTTTTCAAGGCTTTCAAGGGATTGTTCATTGAAGGCACTATAACACCTAGTATAGAAGATGTGGATATCACTGTCACTGCTCAAGATGAAACACAGAAAACCAGTCTAATTAAAACAGACAAAAATGGAAAATATAGGTATTGTAGATATTCTGCTGTCTAAACAAATTAATCGATCATCAATGTCGCCATAAATATTTAATGTATGTCAGAGAATTAAGTTGCTAATTGCAATTTGCACGGCTTCCTCCTTCATCAAGTAAGTCCGTGCTTCAGAAACAAATATCTGGATAACTAATCCCATACCCGACATGGACTGGTAACCGGACAAGAGGCCTAAATCCTAGCCTATCACTTCTTTACCTCATTGGTTGCGCATGATAAGGAGTACTCTATAAGGCAGATGAATTCTTATACGCATTATAGCATAATACATGATATTTTTCTTGTCAACGAATAAAATTAGTTATAAATTTATGTTCCTTATAAGAGTGTCTTAACCTATATGAGGCTGAGTATGTACATTTAAATTCTCAACCCATGTTATTGTTTGAGGTGTTCGTATGGTATGATTCACATTTTATAGTATAGTCCATCTAACCTTAAGTCATAAAACTTTTGAGTTGTCTGAGCCACATTACAAAGTAACTGATTTTTATGTCCGTGTTTTATTCACAGGGTTGGCCCACTGAATCCAAGGGTTAAATATTCAATATCTGCAGTGAAGGAAGAATATGTATTTATACAAGATACGAAGAAACAGGAGAATTTTGAAGCTAAAAAATTATCCAAAATTGACTTCAAGGTTTATTCTATTCTTATAGAACATTAAGATTCAAAAACACTTATTTTGAAATTCTTCTAAGGTCATGAGTATATCGTCATCGGAGTACTGATAAAGAATAAATTACGAACATTATTTTTTGAATTTTTGAAACAAAAATAGCAAACTTTCAATTTATTATCAGGTTAAAATGAAAGATGGAGAACAACAACCACTGTCCGGGGTTTTGATAACAATAAGTGGTGGATCTTACCGAAGTAACAATTTAACTGACGAGGAAGGAAATTTATCATTAAAGAAACTTGTAAGTGTCAAATTTTTCCAATTAAAATTCTGTATTTTTCAATTTTTCAATCCAGTTCTTATGTTTGAAAATATTAGCATCAAGAAATCCTATTTATAAATGATTTTAATATTTTAGGAGCCTGGTCAATATTACTTCAAAGCAGTCATGAAAGAATATGAATTTCAACCATCATCGCAGGTTTGTGTTCCTTACATGTTGATTCATCATCATAAAGATTTTCACCATTGTTGGTTATTTTTTTATTTTACCAATTTTATATGACTATTTGTATTATAGACTCGAAGTAGGAAAATAGTTTTATGAATCGGTATTTATTTATCTTGATTAGTCTTCTCTTTATGTGAATCTCAAATAGGCTCAAAGTACTTCTAGTACTATATACTAGGGATGGGATGAGTCCGGCATTACAGAGATTCGACGAATCCGAGTAATAGGTCAAGGACTCGAGTCGAATCTGTCCGTGAGTCCGTGATGTCATAACAGAAAAGCAGAAAAACACGTTTTTGACCATACTACAGCATCGTGCGCTCACAAATATACGTCGTAGCTCATATTTTTTGCCTAATGGTTCAGCAGATACCAGTTGAATCATTTTAAAAATATATTTTCCTCTTTTTGGCGGCATTAATACATACGTAAACGTGGGTTAATGTGCGCCTTGGCTGTGAACTGGATTTCTAGCCCACCACCTTGCGTCAATTCTGATCGGCTATTCAGATATTCTTACATGTTAATATGAAATATTAAAACATTTTGACTACAATGTTTTCCCATAATTCCAGATATTTCTAGCCGGAAATTTACTATGTCACGTGCGCATATGGTAGAGAAATGACACTCGTCGTCAATACATTGTGGTACATCTGCTTGCAATTTAGTAGTTCATGTAAACGTTCTAAAACTCTCCATGCTTCCCATTGCCTTTTTAGCGAAAGGATTGCCCATAATAAACTCGATTTAAAATTAAAAGAAGTATTGATGAGATTCCCCATTGGGTTGATCCAGGGCATGTTTCATTTTTACGCGAATCAAAAACTCAAAAATATTGCGCTAAGACATATTTTATTGTGTATACCGAAAACGATAGATAGTTTGAAGGCGACTGGCGCAACATCATTCTTATAAGCGATCAATAGTTTTTAACTTGCGTTATATTATCTGGATATCTGTCGTCGTTTTATTAGGAGCGTTTATAATGTACACGAGGGATATTGTTACAGATCTAACTTTGAATTTTAACTAGTTAAGGTATGCAGTAAGATTTAAAGAGGCAAAAGTACAAACATAGGCGTAAATTAGTAAAAACAGAATTGATTATGGACTCAGTAAAAATGACGTAGACTCGAAATCGAATCAGAGTCCAAAAAATGCCTGGATTCGACTCTAATCCGAGTCCGGATCCGAATCCCGGCCCATCCCTACTATATACTGATTTGAATTCCTATTTTGTAATTACCATTATCAGGTTATTGATCTCAAGCAAGGGGATCAACTTACGATTGAAGTAAAGGGAAAAAGAGTAGCCTTTAGGTAAGAATTATGTCATGGTATGAAATGGTGGGATAATTCTTCAGTGGCAGTCAGTGACGCAAAAACAGCTTCAATTCGGAGAAATCGTAAGACTGCAAAATAGGAATTAGAACTAAATATAATTGGGCAGTTTCCGCAGATTGTTTTGGTATTTCCAGAGTAGTTGACCTAGTGATTTTCTTTGGTGGTGAGTTGACGCAACCGCGAGTTACTTTGAACACAATTAAGTTAATGTAGCAATAGCAACCCATTTCAAATGTCTGTAAAATCATTTTTCACTAGAGAATATCATTCTTCGCTGAGTTAGGAGACTCTTTTAAAGGTGTCGTAATCGCTTTGACGATTCCGATAGTTGCATGCGCAGAGGATTCTGGTTTTGTAACCCTCTCCGCTCTGCTGCTCCCCTGATTATATCAACTTATTTTGTTATGCTCTTATATAACAGGCAAAGTTTTTTATACAAAACATTATATTTTTCACATATTATGAGTGAAACTCAAGTCCTTTTATTATCCTCCAGTTGTTTTGGAATGGTTACATCACTGAATGGACAACCTGAAAGTGACGTCGCAGTTCAAGCATTTTCTATCAGTGAGAATGTTGATCATGCGGAAGAAGCAAATTCTGATGAACAAGGACAATTTCGCATCAAGGGTATTTTTTTATTTCATAGCCAATTTGTGATACCTGGTTTGTTATCCAAATTCAGGACCTGTCTGATTTTCAGTCTAATCGCCAGTACTCTTGTAGTATGTGTACCAGGTTAGGGTTAGGCCATAATTTTATTCTGATTTTACTTATTTTAGTTCTATTTCGAGATTAGGTACTGTCGGTGTTAGCCAGGTGAATAGGTTTCAGTCCCTTTAAACAACCTAATGTAAAGTAGGCGAACAAAATGAGTTACCTCCATATTGGTACACACGCTTTTGGAGCGCCTAAGCGCCATCCTATTTCTTATTAATTTTAAATCTATCATATTTTACAGGTCTTTTACCAGGAACAAAGTATGAAGTTAAAGTGAAAAAATCTGAGTTGTTTGATCGAATGTCGCCGTCACAAGTCTCGATCAATATAAAAGATGGAGATGTAAAGGATGTTCGATTCATAGCGTTTCGTACTTCTTCTCAATTTGAACTCAGTGGAAATGTGGTTACAAATAATGAGTTTCTAAGATATTTAAAGGTATGCATGTGGAGTCAAATTATACTTAAAAATTTTTGAAGAATTTATTTTAAATCAAATGTAAACGTAGTTCATGTTGTTAAATATGATGTGGAATAGCTTTGTTTCTGAACTCTTAATTATCGACAGTTCTTAATCAGGGGTTTGCAACATGCGGCCCGCGGGCCAAATGCGGCCCACAAGGAAAAATTGTTCGGCCTGCGTTGAAGTGCCAATGCTGTATGGTGTTGGGCTCGTGAAACGAGTTTTTAATTTAGTTCAATCTGATATGTGCGAGTAATTCCAATCCCTTTGCACTGCAAACAGAGGTTATACCTGAATCTAATTCTATATCTACGCATATGACGTTTGAAATGCCATAACAACTAGCTCGTGTTGAGCGAAATAGAAAGCCTATTTTGAATAAAGGTACGGCCCGTGGCTTCACCTAGTTATTTGCATCTAGCACTCCTGTAATAAAGGTTGCACCCCACTGTCCTAAATGAGGAATTTTCATATGGGCTGGCGGTTAAAGTATTAGACTAAAGTGTGTTGGAATCACAGATTACACATCTCTTGAACAAATTGGGTAAATGATGCAAAACCGAAAAATTTCCACCCCATCCAAATAATATTAGCCCTTCACCTATTGTTAGATATCAGTGACTGCTTGTTTAGGGCCTTGTTTAGGGCAAAAGGTGAGCATTGTATAAAAACACTTTTCATTTTTTTTATGAATAACAGGTTGTCCTCTACCAGTCATCAGATCTTTCAACGCCGGTTCACAGTGCAAGTTTGTCGTCTTCACCATTTTTTCACCTTCCATCTCTTCTTCAAGATGATAAAGAATATCATATCAGACTTGAAACGAATTTAGACAAATCCAGATATACGTACACAGAACCAGCTGCTGGCTTTTTCGCCACTGGAACTTATAAGCACATTACTTTCCAGTTTCACCCCGAAGTAAGTAGTTTGTGAGATTGTATTTATATATCTTATTCATTATTTGTTTGTTGAAATATTTTTAATGGTTGTGTGTGACTTTGACAGTGATTATATACTTTACAGGTGTCTAGATTTAAAAATTAGATTATTTGCAGCTTAAATGACTGTTCCATTTCCATTTTAGTTCGATATTTTCATTTGTATTATTTTTTCAAAGATGAAAGCAGTTGAACCAGATACACCTCAAGCATCATACATCACACTCCCACTCACTCTAATCTTCATATTACTAGCTTATAATCATACAAAGGTATGTAGTTTGTCATAGTAATCATTGGTATTTTTTGAACAAAAACCTATTGTACTGTGTAGTCGTTTGCTTTCGGGTATATATTTTGTAATATCTCGTTCTGTGACCCCGAACACTGTAATTTTCCTATATGGGTGAACAATGTCTGAACAGTGAACCCACACTAATTTTGAGGTGCGATACTGCACAGTGCACATTGACCCCTATCTCAAATAATTGTATATGAATATCGAGGAAGTGGCATATATACAGGCACAAATGATCAGTCAAATATATACAATACATTTTTTTAAGTTACAAATAGTTTTATCACCAATAGTAAAATATCTGGCGCTCCCGTAGTATTTGTACCAAGATGGCGCACAACCTGCTAACCCTGACCTGGAACAATACTATGTTCAGGTTGTGCGCCATCTTGGTATGAATACTACTGGTTCACCAAATATCTACCCTCCCCTAAATTATAAAGTCATGTGAAATCATTATTTGTTCATGAATTAGGTTCTACCCTGGCTTCAACAATTGTCAGATCGTGTTTATTCTACTTATTTCAATGGTCGACGGGATGGAAGCGAATCTACACAAACGAAACAAACCGGTCGTAAAGCGAGAAAAGACAAGTAATAATAAATTCAACATGGAAATATGAAAATTTATTGATTGTGTTTTCGAGTGATTCGAATGAATTTGGAGCTTTCTCAGTATAGATCTTGCTAAATTGAACTGTTGAAAACATCTGCCGATATCTAAAATAGTTAGCGTAAATAATTTTGTTCATAAATTTTTATCTTCACATTGTATTTTATGCAGAAAACACCATGACATTTAATATGGACTTAGTTGCAAAATAACAGTTAATCTAACTCCAGATGTCAATAATGGTCAAACATATATTTTGACATGTTCAATGATATAAAGCAAATTCACTAATTTTTCAGCTTTTTTCGATATGACGTTGACTTTGACACATTGTCTTTCATCCTCTGTCCAATTATTTATCTGCTGTATTTTCTCCTGTTTATAGAATTTGGAGTTGAATATTGGAAATGATTATTTTGCATTTTTTCTCCAGTGCGTTCATGTATGTAATTCATTTTAGTTAAGTGCAGTGTGGGTGCAGTGCAAGAAACTACTACTCTTCAGCTTAAATTTAGATTGCTGTTTTTGACTATATCGTACATAATACTGTTAGGTATTCAATTTGTGCCGATATCCTTGTCTGCCCATTGAAGTATCTTGGAATTAATTGCCCTTTGTTTTCTATTTAACAAAAAAACGGATTGAAAATAATTGTCCTTTTTTTGGTTTTAAGGTACCTTAAAGCTTAATGGCTTTCTAATTTATATTGTTGAATGTTTCAATTTTTGTATTTTGTGTCGTATACTGGTATGATGTGTAGTGAAAATAAATTTCTATGCACACATATACTGTCTTGACTTTTGTTGATGAATCCGCGAACTAACTCCCTCTGGAGAGATTATAAAATGGCGACGGTAAAACTTTCTCTTGCTTCTTCAGTGAAATTCAGTAACTCCACTACAATTTTCAATTTTACACTTCTGTGTTAAAATATATGTGCGTCGGCTCTGTGGTGAATTAACCAGAGATGTAGGTCATCGTTGCCTGATCGAATCTTTCGAGTCCCGATGACCTAAACGTCCTAAAGGAAGCGCCAATGTAGTTAATATTTGGATATAAACAGTACATTTGTCACGGCAAAATTCAATCACGTCGCCAAATTATCTGACAACTCCAATACTCAACATTGTTTTGGTTCCATTACATTTGAACCCATGACAATTGCACCTGTATGCTATTGCACCTATGGAATTTATTTTGTTTTTCGGATAGTTGAACCCATACTAACCCATGGGTTTTAGCACCCGCATATAGATTAAACCCGTGGATATACACATGGGTTCAAATGTACGGTCACCCTCGATTTACACTATCTGTACTTATAGAGCAGAGTGGCAAGAAATATGAAAAATATTTTTGTTCACCGATATTTCTATTACAGTAGCATGTGCATCCGACGATACGCCAACATTTACACGTTGTGATATTCATTCAAAAAAGTTGTGTAGTTTCAAATATATATATTGTAAGATGGTTATACAATAGCGAATAATTTTATGATCCAAGGACAGCGTAAGTTATGAAAAATTTACATCTATATTTTTATTATGCGTAGTAGGCAAGTAGCACAAATAGGATGATTTGCAAGGATGTCAAGTGCATCTGGTACCAAAAGAAAATACGCAGTCACGTCATCAAATTTTACCTAACCATACATATATCATTTCTAACCCAAGTGGATAATTACTAATTTTTTATTTAAAAACGTGGCGGGGACTTTGTACAAAAGATCCAATTGAAAATGTGGATTATATTTGTGTGCATACAAATAAGCTACTTGCAGCGACTTCTTTTTCAACTCCACAATAATGGTCAATCACGCGAACGTGACCAAAACTGCATTTCTTCTTCGAAAGAATTTCAGTTTAGGATAACTGAGAAACGATCAAAATTAGCTGCCAGTCATTTTGTATGGAAGTTAATTTAATGTTTCGAAACAAAATTGTGCCTTTGACGAAGTATATATATATACCAATTTCAAGATAATCATCGAAAATTTACAAAGTCACTATTTACGGTAATTGCTAGGTATTTGCAATCGCGAAAACGTATCGTATCCAAAATTGTGTTTTTCGATAATGGCATATATGAATTTCGGAACTGTTGACTTCAATACTTATAACTTATATAATACACGTGCACAAGAAGTGATAAAAATATCTTCTAAATTCTTCTGTTGATCACTGTACGAAACAAAGACACTTGATCAATTTTATCGAAAGCTTTTGCCGCATCCAAAAAGCTGTGATGACTTAAACGTAGTAGTATATATTTACGCTTAAACCAGGGGTGTGCAAACTGCGGGTCAAATGCAGCACTCAAGGAAGTAATGTGCGGCCGGCAGAAAAGTTGAATAATGTGCTCGCGAAACGAGTTTTTAGGTCAGATAAACTGGTACGTGCGAACAATTCCAACCCATTCGCGTCGCAGAGCCTCTACCGGTATCTAAAAACCCTTGCGTTTTTACTGACCATATCTACAAGGACCCCTAATATACCGTATTCACAATAACAAAATGAAACATTATAATGTGCCTGAGCCCAAAAAGGCTATCTTAATAAATAAAAAGAAGGCCCGCGGCTTCACCCAATTACTCGAATCTGGCCCTCTTGTAATAAAGGTTGCACACCCCTGACTTAAACCGTAAATATATACTACTACGCTTAAACATATTTACGCTTAAACCAGAGCCATTAGAGCCAGAGCCATGCTTAAACTATGGTCTTTGCTTAAACTGGATGACAATGACCATTCTGGCGAATAGCGGTCTTACATTTTTTCGCGCAAATGGTACCAACTAATTTTTTGTCATAGTCACAAATCACAAGTTCTCTCGCACTGTCGTATGATGAGCTGGCCTGGTGCAATTTCTAGCATTTCTCAGTTTTCTAAACCAGTGTTCAGTTATCACTTTTTTGTTTTCTAGTGTATGTTGTGGTTCAAGTATCATTTGGAGATGTACTTTAATCTTGTAATCAGTACCGGCATTACCTATATATCAACATCGGTCTGTAGGTAAACCCTGACAAGGCAGGAGTGTCTCAGTGTGCTGTTGTGAACAATGGCTAACTATGATCCGAGCGAAGGCCGTCGTAAACGTGAAGATGTATGGAAGCTGAACATTCCTCCAGATATTAAGTTAACTAAAACAAAGCATCGTCAAAGTGAGCCTGCAATAGCAAGAGGAACAGCAAGTTATTCACATGAAATGCCAAGAATAGCAGAGGTAGGCCTGGGGTAAATTTTATTTGTGCTACAGGGTTGTAGTCTAATTCACTGATTTTTTCTATTATTCTTCTACTGTCTTGAAACTTAATTTGTGGAACTACTGAACTATGGGAACAAATACTGAAATAGTCACTCGACCTGGACTGGTAACCGGATGAGAGACCGTGGTTCACCATATGATCAAGCCGTCTTATCGGCTTTCCTCTCCCATGGGATAAATATGTGAATTCTATCCTAAGTGCAGTTTCGAGTATTTCATATTTTGTTGCGTCTAGCCTACAGCTACCGCAAAACCATGGCGGGATTTCCAAACCATGGTCGTTATAGCCGAACCTATGGCGACCGACTTTTCAGCTGTTACAAACCAATGGCGAGCTGCCGTTACCCCGGAAGCAAATTGAAAACCAAAGGTGGATGAAATTTTGCTGCCGTAATCACAGCATGTCGGTTGTAATGGTAGGGCTTCCCCCAATGGTGATAAATATTGGGTAAGTTGGAACATTTTTCTTATGGATACAGTTTTGATGGATTTGAGGTTAGGATTCAGGTTTAAATAGATATAGCCTAATTCCGCATGATAAACTAAAATCTGGTACATGACTTTGTGAATATACCTGTAATACTGATTACTGAATAGCGCCATAAAACCATGGCAAGAAACGCTGCGGTTCGTTCGTGACAGGAGCTGCCATGAAGTGGTAAGAACTGCGACTCGAAATAGTAGCATGTTCCACAAATTTTTAACTTCAGCTTTTTTCTCTAAAGTACAATTTTGTTATTGGATGCGGAATCAGAATTAGAGGATGCATACTACTGTAGAATAATATGTCTGTATGTGGAATTCTAAAACTATTATAGATTGCACATATTAGACTATATTATATATTTAACCACAATGTAATACTCAATATCTTATTTTGATATTTTCATTTGGAAATTCTGTACTGAAACATTCTGTTTCTATTCTTATTTACCCAGATTGACTTTGATCTCCATGTAGAAGAGCCGGCATTGATGGACAGTGGCTTTACCTTGGTTTTTGATGACCCTAAGATGTGCCCTGGTGATTCGTCTTTTCATTGGGAGACTCCAATAATATTAAATAGGCCGGAAAGTTGTGAAACAAGAAATTCAAAACCACTTTTAATGTTTGATCCAGATCATGTGACTCTCAGGAAAACTAAACCTGAAATTGCCAATGGGCTCACAAGTTTTGTTATTGAAGAAAGTGTGCCATTGCTGTTGGCAAGTGAAGGTTCCACTGAATTTGAATGGAATTTACCAGAGATTTTGAAAGAATCTGAAGGAATACTGAAGCAGAATGTTCCTCTATTACAAAATGAATCTGGGACCGAACTAATAAAAAATGAACCTGAAATTGCTGGTGGACTATCAGCTTCAAGTTTGGAGAAAAATGAACCTCTGATTAAGAATCCGCCAGGTGTACTTATACAAAGCACACCACAAATGACAGAAAATTTTGACAAATCTGATTTAATACAAAATGAGCCGTTGTTTAATGCTGGCACTTCTGACCTCAAACAACGCATCCCTTTTCTTAATATAGGAAAGAGTCTTTTAACATGGAGGCTGCCATTGCTTAGAGCAGGAATCACAAAATTAAAGCATCGTATTCCCATACTCTTAGAAGGAATTACAATGTTGGTGCATAATTTACCACAGGCTGCTGATAGTCCCAGTACATTAGTTCATGAAATCCCTGAATTCAGTGAAAATCGTGTACATGAATTGCACCATAATATTCCTGAAATTCAGTATGGCGAAGTAACATTCACCCACAACACACCTGTTCTTGAAAATGCAGAAGAAGAATGATTTGCAATAGATCATCTTACCTCATTGTATTTTCTCATTTTTAAAAATAATTTGTTTTAAACCTGACCCAAGCTTTATTACTTACCCACATGTAATAACATGCAGACATGTTTTAATATTGATAAACTATTCATTTGTGCTATTCTCATCTTTTAACAGAGTTTATTTATAATTTACCAATTATTTTTATGTATTATTTGGAATTTGTTTGAGATAATCATCACACTAGAACAAATTTATAACTGTATTCAATACTGTTTTTAAAATTTTGGTCTGTCTTTATTTTGTTTATAAATATTTAATTTTTAAATAACTTTAGTTATGCTAAATGCACTTAGATTTAACAATTGTCAAATTTCCTGCCCATGCTTGAGTAGGGCCGGAAACTCACACCTGAAGATGGCTGGAAATTTTTTGTTTGAGTAATTTTCAATTCAGTTACCCCCATTATATTATTGGACTTTATTCATCATGTAATTTAAGAAGATCAACCATATCATGATTTTTCTGTATAATTATTTAATATAGAATTTGAAGTGACTTGTATTGTAGTAATCTGAAATTCTACAACCACTGAATGACCATATTTAGATTTTAACAAATCTTAACATACCAGACTAATATCACATTTTTAAATTGTAATATGCAAATGATCACTTGGCATCATGTTTTCTGATGTGATGTTTCGTTGCATCTGTAAAAGTTTACCTTAGGTACCACTTTGTGTATGTATCTCGAACAGCTTACATAACTTGTTAATTCAGTAAAACAACGTTATTATTTACCTAACTAGTTCGAGTCTGCCATCCCAAATGCGTAGAAATTGTTGGACCTGTGGTTAACAGTTTCAGATAGATATTATTACCTTGCATTGTATTTACACCATGTTCCTTAAGTTAAATTCATCACAATTTATCATACAAAAAAAATTAACTTATCAGTCAATGCTGCCATTCCCTGACTTTAACTTTCTGTGATCACCCAATATTTTTCAAGTGCAAATATAATAGCCTTAGTTGGACACAAACAATCCTTCTGTTAATAGTGATGTAATAGGGTTCGAAGAAGAGAAACATTCAAAATATTTAAACAAGATTTTCAACTTTGATTTGAATGGAGAAATTTATAAATAAACAGTGCCTTAATTATCTTCCATTATTATAAGCTTGGTGCTTTTGATACTTTGTTACAAACCTGTAAAATCTTACAATAATTTGTTTTAATTAATTTTCAAGACTGACACTTGTTTGATCCCCTGACAAAGTTCTGTATCAATCAGTAAAATTATGTGTTCCAAGTATCTTGTTTTTGAATAGTTAAAGAGCACGATTTCTCTAGTTTTATTTTGTTTTTAGCAACAAATTTTGTTCCTTTTATGATTTCACTGCTGTAATGTGTCTTATATTAATCAGAATGGTACAGAATGTTTGTAATTACTGCAATAAGTCTATAATGTTACTTTAGTTTTTAATGTTTTGTTGTTCATTTTGATTGTGAAATAAATTGATGATTCACTCCAACCCTGTACAAGAGGAAAGATTGGTTGGTAAATCAATAAACGAACTGCTCAAATTTCATGTCAACTGTCGCATTATTCAAATTAGATTATTGTTAAAATAATGGATGTTTCTCAGGTCCTTGACCCAAGAAAATTTTTATCTATATGTTACCATTGCAAAATATTTGATGACAATTTAAAGTGTATTCCTGGGTTGGTGCTTGCATACTGGATATATGTTTCAAATGGGTTGGTCAATTTCCCAGAAATAAGCAGAGAAATTGAACATCCATTGTTAACAAGTAATAATACTCTGTTTGGGTAGTTATTTTAGCAAAACGCCAATCCTGTAATACTAATTCCATGCTTTTTGTTACCTTCGATATATTACCTTTGTCATTCGCTTTATCTTGTGTAACACCACTGCACTGATTGGCTAATATATGCAACTCAAACTCTTAGATCTATCTTTATGAATAATCACCTGCATTGCTGTGTAACAAAAAAAATTCAGGGAGAAAACTATGTTATAAATTTTATATACGGGAGTAAAGGTTGTCATAGTTAATCTCACTACTTTTAATTCTTGTGTATATGGATAAGATGATATATAGTTTGTTGTTAAGGCATGAATATAGCATTATTTATACCTGAGCCTCAGCTTCAAGTTTTGACTGTAATTTTGCAATGTTCAGTAATAGATCGCTCGTAGTAGTAGTTCAACTAATTCAGGGGTTGGAAGAGACAATAAATGTTATTTATGGCTTGGCAGTATCAAGGTTAGATTATATACAGACAGAATAGATAGTTCATCAGTAGTCATGTGCTGAGATACTTTGTGTATAGCCATCTACTCAATAATGTTTGGCTTCAGCATTCGTCGTCCTCACAATATTTATCTAAATTCTCTATGCCTGCTAATGTCTAACCGTGAAAATCACAGGAGGGCTTCCATATTAGTTTCGAGAAATCTATTGCCCTCTGTCGATGACTTATTGACTATAAAAATGAGTGGTCTAAGTAATAGCGAACTAAGCACAAAGTATTAGGTAAATGACATTGTGGATGGGCTATACTTTGTAGTAAATTATTCTGATGCTTGGAACTAAACAAAATCAAGGAAAAGTAGGGATTACTTTGAAATAACGACCTAATATTCGAGTTATTACGATGAAAAAGAAAGCCCAAATAGTTTTATATACAAACAATTTTCAAAAAAGTAACCACAATTTTTATCATTGCCATGTTGCCATTTATCATTGCCATGGCTTTCTGAATATTTAGCTTATAGGTCTACCTGAACAGACTGACACACATTACTCAGTGTTTATTCAAAATGATCAATGTAATGTGGTAAAAAAAAAATTAAAATTGCCAGTGATCAAGTAAAAACTGAAAAGCAAACGTTTAGCAGCATTCAGCAAAAAATATCAATGGGTCATCAAAAACATAGAGCCGAATAAGCCCACAGTTCATTTCAAGATCGATTATTAACACAATGGCATTTTGATTTGATGCAAGTCCATGCTCTAATATCCACCACCATAACCTCGGCCATACCCTCTTCCCATGCCAGGTGGTGGCCCCATTCCCGGTGGTGGACCTCTCATCCCAGGAGGTCCGTACCCTGGAGCAGGTCCTCTCTGAGGCATCATAGATGATTGTGCTGGGCCACCTATACCTTGTACCGGTCCCCTTAAACCTGGTGAAGGACCACCTGGGCCACTCATACCCCTTCCCGCCACTCTGCTCTGTCCTGGGCCGCGATCACCTCCTGCCATGGGGCCGCCACCATATCCCTTCTCGTGCGGTGGCGGACCTTCCATAGACATGGAAACCAAATGTTCTCCTCTGAGCAATACTAAACCCAAAGTGCGCTTTTCTTCCCGATCGGTTGATCCCTTCTTTGGTCTTATTCTTCTGAACTCGTCACAATCAACCAAAATAAGGTTCATGTGTTTGTCGAACGCCTTGAAGGTTCCGATAAATGTTCTCCCGTCCTGAAGAATACATCTCATTCTATAATTGACATGATAATTCAGCTTTGAACCCCCTTTCGGTGGCATGATTACTGTTCAAATAATATTCTGCGCTTGAAGCAGACAAGTAAAATTTCGCGAACGACACGCGATAGTCAAAAACGAATGAACGACGAATTCGAAGGAAAAGCAAGCACGACGCTAATCACGTGACAACATCCTGTGAAGTTGACCGTGTCGACAGCGCCAAACACAATCTAAGATGTTCCATCAGTAGTTTATTTTCTCACCATACTGAAAGCACATCCATATACAAATTGAAATGAATAATTAATTCAGAAACATTGGTCAATCAGCAAGGTGCAAAAAATGACGTAACAATGGGCGTTTAAGCAGTCGCTTAACACGGTTTTCCATCGACAGGCGTGAGGGCTTTCTTACTAGGCCATGGCGTATACGTTTTTTTTTTCGAATTCGTAGTCGGAAGTTTTTCGATATCAGCAAGCAGGTACCGCACTGTAGTCTGGGTACGGTAAGCTACTGTATAAGTCAGAGCACTGTAAACAATTTTATACTACAGTTGTGTGTCGAATCATTTAGCATTTTAATTCCAGTTGGTACAAGACGCACGAATCATGATTGTTTCAGGAACTGATAAAGCTAGGGTAGTTCGGGTACCGGTACCAGTAAGATACGACGATCCACAGTTACAGCAATCAATCGATCAATCTTTTATTTTCATCACAAAAAGCATATAGAAAACTTACAACAAATGAATATACTGATCGTGATAATCGTGTGACCGGAGTCGCGAGGGACCTATAGAGGTCTTCAAGCAGCGACACCTAGCTGATGCAGGTTAGTATAAAAAGTACCTAAATGAGGCACGTAATTGCGACAATATACATAATTGAGTCTACTGTGCAGATTATCTAACAAAGTAAATATACAACTTTCACGAGAGAAAGCACTGAAGAAAAATATGAAAGAAAAACAAGAAAAAATAAAGAAAAACACAAAGAGTATGCAGATTTGGCAAATGTAAAACTAAAAACCAAGGAAAACAAACAATATGCACAAAATATTTTTAACAGATACAATTTTGAAGGCTTATATACAAATTAAAAAGAGGGGAAATTAACACTCTAATAAGGTTACAACGAAGACTATATTGCTATGGTCCAGGATAGGATTTCTGAAGAAATTATGCGTAAATTATTTCGATTTGGCTTTCGTGTTCATATAGTTGAGCATTGCTATCTTGTTTCCGTAATAATAACCGAGTCTACGATGACGTAACAATGTCAATTTTTGCAGCCGTTCAGACAAATCTTCAATCATGGTTGTAAATGTGAACATTGGCTCGTTTTCGTGGTTTTGCGTATTTGTCAGTTTTCGTTTGTGTTTCCAATAATCAGTTATAAATCAACTAATTTAATTGAGCGTTAGTTTAGTTATATTAATCAAAAATTAGTCCTGGATAAAATGCGATGGACTGGGCTAAAATTGGCTATCAGTACGTGTAACCGGCAAGTGACTGAATAATTCTATTAAAAATGATGGTTTGAAACCTGAAAAACAGTTTATAAGCTTCCGCTTTTCAAAACACTCTCAAGATAAGTATGAAAAATTGAGATTTTTTCTGGGGTCAAGGGTCGGGAATACATTGAAGAAAAATTTGACTATAATTTTTGATGAATACTAACGATAACATCATTAATTTCTCCACATTTACACGTAATATGTTTTATTTAATGTTGCTCCCGCTATAAAAGATAATTTTAAAAAGAGAGCTGTGCTCAAATATATGAACACGTCACAAGATGTCGCTAATTTTTGAAATAAGTAAAAGTAATAGACTTCTGGCAAAAAATTTAATCTTTAACCGCTGAAAATTCCAAAGCAATTGGTCCAGTATTCGGAGAGAAAAGCGATGTCATCACGACAAAAGAGAAGACTAACAAGAACAACAACATAATATTGAAACGATCGTTATGTACACTGACGTGTCCAATAATTAAACCCAATTAGATATCAGTGCTCTGCTCGGAACCCATCTTTAGTCCTGTTCCGTTTTTTATTTTATTGGCTGGGGAAATAGTCTTTCTGAAAGCTCGCTTGTGGGCGCCACGAGACTACCTAAAATCGACAATGCTCGACTGACAACCTGGCATACCCTACGACGGATGAGAGCATTTAAATGGCAATTGGGACTATTTAACCATGTCTACTCGCAATTACAACTATTGATTTTTCTAATCGCATTCAACGAACTCAATGACTGAAACACTGGACTTTAAAAGACAATTGTGTAACCAACTTTGTTTTTTCAACAATAAAAAATGTTGTTCGTAAAATATCATAAGTGATTGGGGTTAATTTTTGCAAACACAACAAGAGCATGTATTTTACTTCGCCTCGTAATGGTAAGATATATAGATAGATATACTGCTTGCAACTATTGGTGCTTGAGTCGAGAAATCATGCACATTTATCATAAATATTGATTAAACCAAAGAATGAATATACTTGTAATACGGTGATTTGTACATACAGTTGGGTGTCATATGTTTATCAATAAAGACAACACAAAATCCAATAATATATAATAATAATAAACGTTTATCATTTATACATAACAAGATACCTTCGTTTGAATAAAAGCTTTTATAAGTGCAGTCATCAAAGTTCTAACTAAAAATTTGTCTTCACTCCAGGCAAGTAATACTAGATATAAACGAACTTATATTATAGATTTTTACTTCTAAATTTCAAATATTTTTTCGCGAAAATATTGGAATACCGACCTGCATGTGATGCATTCTATTAATTGCCCGATATATGTATGAGCGACATACATTTATTAGCAATAAAAAGGTGAAGCTTAGAATGATAAGTAGGTAGGTCTACGCAAAGAACAAAGTAACGGATACTCCTCCTCACGCAGACCACAACATTCAAGGGCAACATAAGAAGCTGCGACGTGGGTAATCGTTGCACCAATTTTGTATCAGGTTACCAAATTGATGTCAGTAATCTTGCCTGGCTGCTTCATGAGTATGATTGAAAATGATAAAGCTTCGAAAGATTCAAGGTTTCCATTTCCGAAGAACTGAAGCAAGAGGAAATTTCAAAGGAGTTTCGTTGCTTGAGTTTTTTACGAAATGTTGATATTCTCGGAAAGAAAACCGAAGAAAAATTTGGCATACAAACAGCAATGGTTGTGATTCAATATACAGAAAATGAATGATGATTTCGAATACTTTCATCAAATTCAGCTCCGACTAAATTATTATAGCAACTTGGTGTAGCCGACTGTTCTTATTTTTGCGTTGGTTCTAAAGTCGCTTGATCATCAACCTAATCTCATCTTGCATCTATCCGTTCGGCATTCGACGCTTTTTAAAGTTATGTATCAAATGTCGGATAGTGTGACAGGGGCCTTTAATACAGCAACCGATGAGAAACTTGATAGCGGTGTTTCATAAGACAAGTTTACTAATTCGTCAAGGCGTTATTATCACCACAAAATGGGCGGAAAGAACATGTTGCTGGCGATGATATTGTCAATTAATCAAAGTTTTAATATTTACGTTGCATTGTAAAGATTCAAGCGCAATTTGTGACGTGTTTCGTAACTAACCAAATAATGAGCTAGTTTGATTAATCAATAGAAATTGATAAATGTATCCCGAAAACTGGTATATATATATATTATTTACAGACAAGACATCATTGATTATGTGAGTTTTTATCTTCAATACTTTTTCAAGTACGATGCATATTACACATCAATACATCTTACTCACATTGATTTCTTTAATGGGCGACTGATACCATAGTAGATCACAGGAAAGATAACTTCAAAACACCAGCTCTTATATTGGCCCATTGTGATTCATTCTATAGCAGAAACACGTCAGAATAGAATTCCACATCTCGTGTTACGAAAACCATGTTTTTCCGAAATAACATGTCGGAGTTCGAATCATGAATGAAAAAGTAGGAACATGCCTCTTGTTTCTAACACAAGCCGTAACATGTTAATTCCCATCCGACTTTCAAAATTATGTAGGGGTGGGTAACGAGATAAGGTGACCTCCATAGTGCAGGAGCATATTCACACAATAACGCGGTGCAACGCCTGTACTACTTCGAAAAGAGTTGGTATCGGTACTGATTTTGAACATTTCATTCGTGTAACGATTAATATTTTTATTCGAAAATGTACAAAATTATAACTTTCATTTCGAAGCAATTATATATCCCCTATTTTTATTGCTGGAATCATCTAATTTTTCCTTCCCACTTTACGCAATAAAAATCGTGTCGTGAACAGTGTTGTATCAATCACAATTGTTTCTAGTCCAAAACAACAAAATTTGACATAAGAACCCGGCGGCCGTAAGTAGCAATCAGCTGAACAGTTTACATAGACGCGCTTGGCTGTCAAGAAAAGCTTCTGTTGACAATCAAAACAAGGCGGCGCGATTGTGGTGGCCTTAAAATAATATTATTAGCGTTGTAAAACAACTTGTAAAATATGTGCATGATTAGTAACCGGCGCGTGCCGGGGTAGTTCCCAAACACAGCGGCTAAGTAAATAAAGTTAGGGGAATTTTTCATGCTGGTATTGATTGGTACATCCAAAATTGAATGGGATATTCGTCCTGCTTTAGTAGGGAGCACCAGCTTTTATCATGAGCAATTGATATTTGGAAAATATATTGCTGTGCATGTTCGATTTGGGTTTTACTTGTTTTGATATTCGATTCCCCAACTAAAGGTGAGAACTGTATAATAGCTTATTTGCAAACGACGCTTTGTTCGCAAAACTATTTACCGCACTGTATATATTTACAGGGGACGGTTAATAACAAGACTTTCAGTCAGAAACATTTCAGTTCAAGACTGTCAGAAAAAAAACTATTGTAGAAATCGTAAACCTTATTCTGTAATTAATATTGCCAACAAGTATGAAATATTCAGACCAACATTTGTACATATCACGGTTTTATTGACTGGTATATAGTGACTCCAACTCCGAGTGTTCGAAGTACGAAGATTCCATTTTATACATTAAGTACATAACTAAAAAATTTTAATGACTAATTAAAAATAACAAAAACTGTATATGAATGGCTGTGCTATATAGTACATAGTATTTATGAAACGCGGTAGTATGT